CCACCCACCTCGGCCTCCCAAAGTGCTGGGATTACAGGCTTGAGCCACCGCGCCCGGCTAATATTTTTATTATTAACACTTAAATAATTGATATAGCGATACCTAATAGATAGAAGACAAATGGGCCCAGCGTAGTGGCTTGTACCTGTAATCCCAGCACTTTGGGAAGACAAAGCAGGAGGATCGATTGAGCCTAGGAGCTAGAGGCCAGCCTGGGCAACAAAGTGACACCCCCATCTCTATTTAAAAAATAAATTGGCCAGACATGGTGGCACATGCCTGTAGTCCCAGCTACTCGGAAGGCTAAGACTGGAGGATTACCTGAGTTCCGACCCCCACCGCCTAACTTTCCTACACAGAAGCAAATGGAAGAACTATTTTTTTTTTTTTTTTTTGAGATGGAGTCTAGCTTTGTCACCAGACTGGAGTGCAGTGGCACAATCTTGGCTACCTCCGACTTCCTGGTTCAAACGGTTTTCCTGCCTCAGCATCCCGAGTAGCTGGGATTACAGGCACACACTGACACACCCAGCTAATTTTTGTGTTTTTAGTAGAGACGGGGTTTCACCATGTTGGCCAGGATGGTCTTGATCTCCTGACCTTGTGATCCACTCACCCTGGCCTCTCAAAGTGCTGGGATGACAGGTGTAAGCCACCGTGCCCGGCTGGAAGAGCACTTTTTAAAACAATTCTTGAAAATGAAGAATGGGATTCCATCCCCTTTGATAGGTGTTCTTTTTTTTTTTTTTTTTTTTAAAGACGGGGTTTTCCCATGTTGGTCAGGCTGGTCTTGAACTCCCGACCTCAGGTGATCCACCCGCCTTGGCCTCCAAAGTGCTTGGATTACAGGTGTGAGCCACCACGCCCGGCCAATAGATTTTCTTGATAGAAAGCTGCTTTCAATAGAAAGTACTGTGCTAGAAATAAACCCAGGATGAATTTTATGAACCTACGATGCAATTTACAGAATTTTTTTTCTTGGTTTTTTTTTTTTTTTTTGTATTTTTTTAAATAGAGATGGGGTTTCACCATGTTGGCCAGCATGGTCTGGAACTCCCGACCTCATGATCCGCAGGTCTTGGCATCCCAAAGTGCTGGGATTACAGGAGTGAGCCACCGTGCCCCACCAGCAATTTACATCATGTTAAAGCACAATTTATCCCACTTTAAAAAATAAGTATCAAGAATCTTCACCTTAAATATAAACAATAAAATTTATTTATTTATTTATTTTGAGACGGAGTTTCACTCATGTTACCCAGGCTGGAGTGCAAGGGCGCAATCTCGGCTCACCGCAACCTCCACCTCCTGGGCTCAGGCAATTCTCCTGCCTCAACCTCCTGAGTAGCTGGGATTACAGGCATGCGCCACCACGCCCAGCTAATGTTTTGTATTTTTAGTAGAGACGGGGTTTCAGCATGTTGACCAGGATGGTCTCGATCTCTTGACCTCGTGATCCACCTGCCTCGGCGTCCCAAAGTGCTGGGATTACAGGCTTGAGCCACCGCGCCCGGCCAAAATTTATTTTTAAAAAGGTAATTCTGACTGGGTGCAGTGGCTCATGCCTGTGTTTCCAACACTTGGGGAGGCCAAGGTGGAAGGATGACCTGAGGTTGGGAATATACATTAAAAAAGAACATAAGAGAGCTTCAGGGTATTTCTATAAAAAGATGTTACCTCATGAATGACTGTACTTCCCAAATTAAAAGTTCTAATATGTAACCCTATCAATATGACCAAAACTTTGAGTAAACAGGTAAGATTACATGAAATGGTACCTCAAATTTTCTAGTTAGTATTGGATGCATTATCCTATTATTTGATTATTCAGTTATTGGCATGCATGCATTTGAATGGCTGTTAGAAAAGGGTAATAAATACCCTACGTCTCTTTGTTGCTATTCTAGTTCAAAGAATGAAGTTGTTGATTTGAATTATTTAACTAGTGGAAAAATTGGGATCACTCCAATTAAAATTTTTTTTTTTTAATTTTTTTCCACCCCTCCCCCCTCAAAGAGTAGTTCGGGAAGAGTGATTTTGGTTTTTATATTATTTATTATTTTTTTAGAGATGGGGTTTCTCCAAGATCACCAGTTTCTGATGGTTTGTTTTACTATTTGATTTAAAAATAATGTTTAAACCCATAACAGTAAGAAAATGTTTCAAGCAATACATTTTGAACCAGCAGTTAAGGAAAGGCTGCCTAATTACACAATGAGCCCCCATCTCTTCGAAAGACCATTGTTCTGACTTAATTAACATGAAGTAAAACAGTCCTAAAACAACAGGGCACATTCCCATTAGGATAAATTACTCAGACCTCAGCAAGGCAGCAAAGAATTCCCTAGAGTAGAATCTGTCACTGCTTTTCCACCTGCACTATATCTCTCTCTCAAAGGACTCTGCTAGAGCTGGGAGCCTCCCTCCGGAAGGGGCATCTGTTCCATATTGAATTTGCTCCATTTGTGGCCATGGGTGGAGGGTGCAGCAAATCCCCAGGCAGCCAGCAGAAACACGGCTGGGACGGGACAGATTCTCAGCAGCTGTGGCTGCCTTCGAAGCACTTTTTTCCTGCTCATTCTGGTCTCAAATCTTCCATGTGGATATTTAAATCTGTTGTTGCTTGACTTAATATAGGGAAGAATGGGATGCGTAGTCTTCAGAAAAATGCTATTTTCTTTTTTCTCCTTTTTTTGAGACAGAGTCTGGCTCTGTCACCCAGGCTGAAGTACAGTGGCAACATCTCAGCTCACCACAACCTCCGCCTCCCGGGTTAAAGTGATTCTCCTGCCTCTGCTTCCCAAGTAGCTGGGATTACAGGTGCGTACCACACCACCTAGCTAATTTTTGTTTTTTTTTTTAGTAGAGGAGGGATTTTGCCATGTTGGCCAGCCTGGTCTCGAACTCCTGACCTCAGGTTATCCAGGCGCCTTGGCCTCCCAAAATACTGGGATTACAGGCAGAGCTCACTGCACCCTGCTCTGAAAAATGCTACTTTCTTAACAGGGTCCATAAACCAGGCACAGAAGCTAGTTAGGAGGCTGGGCTCTAGAGCTGGGAAGACCTGACTTTGCCTCTTAGAGGCAAATCAGCTTGCCCCACTTCTTTCATCTCTCTCTGTCTCAATTTCCTCATCTGTAAAGTGAGGAATCATCTAACAGGGTTAATGCTCGATAGTTGTTGGCGATTATGATCCACATGTGAGATGAGATGAGTCTGAGGTCTCTGTGCACATTAGAAAAAAACACATTCCCCAAACACTTGCATGAGCCATAGGATACCATGCAGAGCACATTTTTCTTTTCAGTCGGCCTCTCTCTGTGTGTTTGTATGTGCACTGCACCCTATATTAGGAAAACCCAACTAATTAGAAAAAACCCCAAACATATCCTGTTTGTTTTATACTACCTATTCATCAGTAATGAAATCAGGTTTACATCTAGAGCAACATCAGTATTTTTTTTTAAAACCTTTCTTCATTTGATTATGTTTCTTCCCCAGTTACTTAATGTCACAGATGGTAGGACAAATAACTTCTGTGCCCTTCAAGTAACTTTGTTTGGAGTTAAACACATTAACTGGCATTTGTCACGTGATGGGGAGGGGTAGGAACAGTGTTTAATCAAAATAAAGATGGAATATTAATTCATGTCTGAGGACAGTTACAATACTAATGAAGCTGACTTGAATGAGTTATCATTTATTTGGGACAGGGTCTCATTCTGTCACCCAGGTTGTGCACCATCATGGCTCACTGAAGCCTCTACCTCCCAGACTCAACTGATCCTTTCACCTCAGTCTCTTGAGTAGCTGGGGCTTCAGGCATGTGCCACCATACACAACTAATGTTTTGTATTTTTTTGTAGAGATAGGGTTTCATCATGTTGTCCAAGCTGGTCTGGAATTCCTGGGCTGAACCGATCTGCCCACCTTAGCCTCCCAAAGTGCTGAGATTAACAGCCATGAGCCACTGTGCCTGGCCACATTTTTATTTTTATTTAATTTATTTATGTAGTTTTTTAGAGGGGGGACTCTTGCTATGTTTCCAGGCTAGAGTGCATTGGCTACTCACAAGTGTGATCGATCATAGAGCACTACAGCCTTAAACTCCTGAGCTCAAGGGATCCTCCTGCCTTGGCCTCCCAAGCAACTGGGACTACAAGTATGTGCCACCATGCCTGTCTTTAAATTAATATTTACTTCTTTATTAATTAATTTACTTAGTGGCATTTTTGTTTGTTTTTGTTTCTGCCAAGTGCACAGTATAATAAGTGAATTCTTAGGGAATTTGTTCTAGGCCTGCAGCAGTTGCTCACACCTGTAATCCCAGTACTTTGGGAGGCTGAGACGAGAGGATCAGCTGAGACCATGAGTTTGAGACCAGCCTGGGTAACATGGTGGGACCAGTTTGTGTGTATATATATATATATATATATATATATATACACACACACACAAAACATACTATGTGGTCATCACCTGTGTGTGTGTATATATATATATATATATATATATATATACACAAGGCTATATATATATATATATATACACTATTTAGTAGAGAAAAAGCCACCTTTTCATCACAAAAACTAGGACTATATTCCTAGTTCCTGAACTGCAGAGACTTCTATAACCCATAAGAAATAGAGAGAATCTGAATCCCTTGTTTTCACAGTGTCTCCACGCTCTGAGGGCTAGTGGTTTTTGTTTTTTTGAGATGGGTCTGGCTCTGTCACCCAGGCTGAGAAGCAGTGGGGCGATCTCAGCTCATAGCAACCTCTGCTTCCTGGGCTCAAACCATCCTCCCGCCTCAACTGCCCAAGTAGCTGGGACCCCAGGCATGTGCCACCATCCCTGGCTAATTTTTGTAGTTTTTTGGTAGAGACGGGGTTTCACCATGTTGCCCAGGCTGGTCTGGAACTCCTGGACTTGAGTGATCCACCTGCCTTGGGCTCCCAAAGTGCTGGGATTACAGGCATGAGCCACTGTGCCTGGCAGGGCTAACAGTCTTCATGAAACTTCATGTGGGAGTAGAATGTTTCTTGATCTGAGAACATTTTCCCACAGATGCTACAGGAGCAGCACTCATCCTCCTTGTGTGAACGTCGGACATGGCTATCATGGGCAGCATGGGATGCGAATGATTTACCACAGTACTTGCATTTGAAGGGCTTCTCCCCAGAGTGCTGCCTGATGTGTGTGCGGAGTATGCTGGAGGCTGTGAACCTCTGCAGAGAAGAGAAACACAGAGCACATGAAAAAGTCAGCCTCCATGACGTGGCCAACCAGTTAAACTAAGCGGTTAATTTCATTGTCGTTCATCCTTATGGACGAACCTTGGGTTTTGAGGCCTGGTCATCAGCAGTAGCATTAATCCAAAAGGATTCCACTGACTTGTCCTTCTGGCTGGTTTTGAGAAGCATTGGATGTTAGAACAGTGGTTCTTCAGTGGCTAAGATTATCTGGAGGTCTAGTTTTTAGAAAAGCAGATGGCTGGTCAGGCACTGTCGTTCACGCCAGTAATCCCAGCACTTTGGGAGGCCAAGACGGGAGGATCACCTGGGGTCAGGAGTTTGAGACCAGCCTGGCCAACATGGTGAAACCCCACCTCTACTAAAAATACAAAAATTAGTCGGGTATGGTAGTGCGCACCTGTAATTTCAGCTACTTGAGGGGCTGAAACTGGAGAAATTCTTGAACCCAGGAGGTGGGGGTTGCAATGAGCCATTACTGTGCCACTGCACTACAGCCAGAGCGACAGAGTGAGACTCTGTCTCAAAAAAAAAAAAAAAAGCAGATTGCCAGCCTGGGCAACATAGCAACACCGCACCCCTACAAAAAGTAAAAAACATTATCTAGGCATGGTGGTGTGCACCTGTGGACCCAGCTATGTGGAAAGCTGAGGTGGGGGGATCACTTGAGCCGAAAAGGTCAAGGCCACAATGAGTTATGATGGCACCACTGCACTCCAGCCTGGGCGACAGAGTAAGACTCTCTCTCAAAAAAAGAAGCAGATTGCCAACTCTACCCAAAAGAGAGTGACCCAGTAAGTCTGACATGAGACCCAGGAGCCTGCATTTAAATAAGCAATTCTGATGCAGGTGATCCTAGGGTCACACTTCAAGACAAGCTGCATTACAGAAGAAGAAGCTATTACCAACCAGTCTTTGCATAAGTCAGTGGTTGTAAAAAAAAACCTTAGTGGTTTTCTTCTTCTTCTTCATTTGAATTTAAGCTTTTGAAAGATGGTTTGTAGGTTTTGTTTTGAGACAGTGTCTCACTCCATCACTCAGGCTGGAGTGCAGTGGTGCAATCTCGGCTCACTGCCACCTCTGCCTCAGTGATTCTAGTGCCTCAGCCTCCCAAGTGGCTGGAATTACAGGCACAACACCATGCACATCTATTCTTTGTATTTTTAGTAGAGATGGTGTTTCTCCATGTTGACCAGGCTGGTTTCAAACTCCTGACCTCAGGTGATCCACCTGCCTTGGCCTCCCAAAGTGCTAGGATTACAGGCATGAGACACTGCGCCCGGCTCAGCAGTGTTTTTCTATGCTGATTATTTTCATTCTATTGGCACACACTTTAGAGGTATTGGTTGCCCCGATCTGGTAGACTCAATGTTTTATGCCTCTTTGAGAGGCTAAGAAGCAGCTGTAGGACAGCCTCTACTCCTTTTATGGCTTTACGGTAAAAAGTGTGAATGACTCAGTGACAGAAACATAATCTATCAGTGCTTTCCAACAGGACTTTCAGCGATGATGGGAATATTCTGTACCCCCGCTGTCCAGCTTGGGAGTCACTAGCCACCTGTAGCCAGTGAGCACTTAAAATGTGGCTAATGCAATCTCAGAACTGAATTCTTCAACTTTCCTTCATCCTTACTAACTGAAATAGCCACAGCACAGATGTATATCATCGAAACAGGACATGAGCTATTTTGGTGTCATATGTCTAAAGCATGGTCAACCTATTGTTCCTATTATAGCAACTCCTAACCATGTGATTCACGCCTCTGTTTTCACAACTCTATATTCTGTGTAACATAGACTAGACGCCACTTCTGCAGTGCTCCTATAGAAAGCTGCATCGGCAGCATCCTTTACAGATTAAAGTAGTAATACTAGTAGCTAACATTCCAGTAGTACTTTTACGTTGTGCCAGGCACTGTTACAAGGATTTTATATTTTATATAACTTACTGATTTTTTTTTTTTTTTTTTTTTTTAATGAATGAGAGGTTCTTATTTTGCCCAGGTTGGCCTTGAACGCATAGCCACACCTCCTCAAGCGCCAGGACAACTGGCCCGAGCCACCGTGGCTCCCATATCTTACTGATGTTATCCAACAACTTGGTAAAGACTCTTGTCCCCCAATTTATCAATGTGGAAACTAACGGAGGAGTTCATGGACTTGCTCAGGGTGGCATAGCTAAGTAAGCACCAGAAGCAAGATTTGAACCTTGGCCAAGTTTATGCTCTTAAATACTATACAAAACAGTGATTTTTTTTTTTTTTTTTTTTT